AAATGGAGCTCCCAGTTTGGACACCAATCTTGATTTCATTCTTTTAAGTCTCACGCTGAATCCTTTTTTGGCCTCACCCTTTTTCACAAATTAGATATTATGACTTTTTGTCAATACTCACCAACAAACCCCACCAAATAAGAAAAGAGACTCAATAGTAACCAACATTAGCTTTATAAAGGACTGCAACCCTATTATTCTTAACAGACGTTTACTTTACAGAACCAACCAGCTTCTTTAAAATATATGGCAATAGTTTTCCTCCCTAAAACGGTGTTAATAGTGTCCTTTATAGTAATGCTATGGAATTTAGATTAACAGTTTCTTGTCATCACCCACATGCAATTGGTACAGCTGTATCAAGCATCATTATTAATGCTAATTCCTTAAGCTAATATCATGACATTAAATGCTCTTTAATTAAGATTATTTCATAAAATTTATTAAATTTGTGCTGAAAAGTTGACAATGATAATCATCCATCCATAGAATACTTTTGAAAACTTGAGCTAGAAACTGCTTATCTAGTTTGCTTGGCCTAACAAATACTTGTGTACCTGTACATCCTTTCACCTTATAGTTTTGCTGCTCTAAATCAGCAGTCTTTAATGTGAATGACAAAAAACTGAATAACTTTGCACATGTAGCTTGTAAAAATCTATCAGTGTACCAAATTTGAAAAAAAAACCATACTCATACAAGCTGAGTATATTTTCTACCAAATAAAGTCAAATAAAGGAAGACACTCAATTACAATTGGAGATGTTATATCTCAGGTATTTCTTAACAGATTGCCTTAAATTTCGTATGTAAAGTAAGAGTCCAGTAGAGCACATCCACTGAAAATGTGTGATAGTTTGGATTACCACAGTCTGACCTGCAGAAGGTGGAAAATCGCTAAACTATCAATCTTGTTAATAACACAGTGTGTGTCCTGCAGGTTGTTTTTTTTGGCCACAAGACACACGATAGTGTCTTGACATGCAACATTTTATTGTACAATGTAGAATAATTTGAAGTGAGTCCCTTTGACACTTTTTATTGAAATGTCAAAATGTCAAAAATCACTCACTTTTGTAGTGGTCTTTTATTGCCTTCAAATAAAACGACAAAGAATAGTAGCACCCATTGCACTGACAATGAAAGATTTTTGCAAAGAATGCATTGTATTCAGTCTCCTTTGCTCAAAAACAAAATGCAATTATCATTATTGAAATAATGCATGGAATGACAAAAGACGGTTGTAAACAGCACATTAGTCAATCAAATCGCATACATATGCTATGATCCAAGGGATTGGGTTGACTGCACATTGTATATTTATTCCCCACTATTTTTAGGAAAATTACAGTTGAATTGTTTCAACAGGCATCTGCTAGAACAATGGCATTTCGCTATCTCATTGCTAACTCATTAAAATGTTGGTTATAATACTTTACACATGTGTGTGTGTATTATTTACAAACAAGTTCTTAAATTTCAGTTAATTTTCTTAAAACATAGAACAGTAAATAAAGTATAGAAAACAATGATCTCCTACTTACAAATTTTTTACTCGCTTGTCGTAATTTGTTAAGCCTTGTCAAATTTTGCATGTGAAGGATGTGAAACAAAATATTTTTTTTAGGTTTTATATATGCATTTTATAATAAAAAATAATAAATTACTATATCAATACCACAGAATTTCATTATAATCTGTCAATTTGGGTCTTAAAAAATGACAGCTCCATTATCCACTTTGATTGTACCATTAAAAGGAAAGTTTCCTGCATAAACACTTCAGAAAGGCTGAGAAAACCATGTGGGGTACATTCTGAGCTTTTGATTGGTTATACATACATCATACAGTGAAGTAAGTGTACGTAAGCAAGTCTTTCCAAAAATGGAAAAAATGGAAAGGGCCACCATGGTTGATTCAATAAATATAATAATATCTCAGAAAATAGAAAAAACTCCTATTTTCCATTCTAGCTTGTCAATGTTGCTAATTTGTGTTTAATTCATAAGAATCTATAAACTTTGTATTTGGACATCACAAACATCCAATTTGAGCCAAAGCTGCATTCAACATACCACGTGACAAAATTATACTTACGATTTATTTTTTATATTTACTTTTAAATTAAGAAATTACCTAATGTATAATACTAAAATTTGAATTATAATCTACAATTTGATACCAGACTTATTGACATACATTTGTAAAATAATAGTTCAATAAACTTTTGAATGCAAGTCTACAAACATGAAGACACCCTTTCACCCCTGACCATAGGAAAACTCCTCGAAATAAGGTTAATAGGGAAGCAAGTAATGTAAATGAATACCGTAGTATGACCTGTGTGATGCTATACTTGTAATCAAATAGGGAATTTATCTATGCATTGTCCTAAAAAAGTAAAATATGGAAATAGGGAACAAAAAGATGAAGGAAAGTGGTTATGAAACAAGAGCAGGGGTCAAATAAAGAGGTTTTAAATTCCTTGAAAGTAAAACCCTTCATAAATTATTTAACTACAACTGGAATAGATCTGCCGCACCTAACATTAAAAATTAAATGTGTGAAAGTATCAAGTCATAGATAGTGGGTAGAACTATTCAGTAATAAATGAACAATTATGGCAACTAGTCAGAAAAAATTACAAAACCCTTCGGTTAAAAACTTGAAGTGAAGGTAATGTGTTTTGCAGATGAAATGACTAACTGTCGACCACTAGGATACTTTGAAGCAAAAGTATTAGTAACAAATAGCATTGTAGAATAATGTTTTGTTGTTAAAGATCTGGCAGTATCTTGTCTCATTGAATTGAACTTTATTAAGCAAAACAAAGCTATCAAACTTTTCCACAAATGCTCTTGAATTAAATTTATGTTAGGCTTGACTCCAAAGCTGAAAAAGTACCAATGAAAGAAATAGTGTTCCCATTTGAAGAGTAATGACAGCAAACAATTAAAACAACTTGTACTGAAATATGCAGATATTTTTAACAGTAAGCCTGGCCTCAGATTTGTTGGAACACAGTATTGTAACCACTAGTGAAAAGCCAGTGTTTAGTAAACCTTTTTGCTATTCTCCCATTATATTACAAGTGCTACATGATCAAGTAGATGAAAGTAGATGGGTTAACAGAACCCTCCACTTCTTCTTGGGCTTCTCCAGTAGTTATTATCAAGAATAAAACTAATGTTTTTAGGTTCTGTATCGACTACAGAAAGTTAAATCAAGTCTCAGAATCTGACTGCTATCCAATGTCTCATATAAGTGATATTTTAAATGCTTTTTCAGGTGCAACTGTATCAGTATGTTAGATTTATCAAGTGAATACAGGCAAATACTTGTAAAAATGGACAATCAGTAGTAAAACTGCCTTTATAACACACAGTGAACTTTGTCAAATTTAAAGTGTTGCTTTTGGTCCGAAATATGCACCTTCCAGACTTTTGAGTAAGGCTTAAGCAGGAGCAATTGTTCTAACTCACATTTGAACAACACCTGAAAGACCATTAGTTGGTTTTCTACAAGCTTCATACAACTAATCTTACTGTAAAAATTTTAAAAAGTAAATTTTGCTAACCAGCAGTATTATATTTAGGATTTAAACTTACTTCTAAGGGAGTACTAACAAATGATAAAGTGAAAGCTGTTAATCCTCTCCCCATGTTTTGTTGCTAAAGATTTGGCAGTATCTTATCTCATTGGATTGAACTTTATTAAGCCAAAAAAAAAAAAGCTATCCTTTTTTTTTTTCATGTTATACCAATAAATATAGTACAAAAACTTAGCTAATAAGCCAAATTTCAATACTATACAAGTTTTAGGTTCTTACTTTTATAAGGCAATATAAAAAAAATCTATAATTTCCCCTGGTATGAGAATTGTGACATTTGCTGCCTAGGTATCCACTCTTTGCTAATTTATTTACTACCCCTCCAAGACTTACAAAATTTAATGTAAATTACTCATTGTAATATCATTGCTCAGGCAAAGCATATTTTTCATAGCCTTCAATCTTATCTGGTAACAGAGCCATGAAAAAGACAATCACTCTTGTCACATCCTCTCTTTCAGAAATTGCCAATAGTTCAATACTATATTATTTATAACCAATAGAAAGCCAAGATTTTCATCTATTAAATGACAATTATATTATGTTGTTTTGTGTAAAGAGAGTTGTCGATTTCACTTTCAGTTCAGGCTTGATTCCCACAGGAAACGCATCAACGAGCTTAGACAACTCGTTACAAAGCCAGAAAAATTGAGTTAGTTATGGGATTTTGTCTACTTTTTACAAATTATTATTCTTTGTTCTATGTTGCATTATTTAAATAAATAAAAAATTACTTAGTGCATTACAACCATTAGTTTAAAAAAGTATGGATAAGTGTCATCAACAGCAAAAAAAAAAAAAATGAAGACCCAAGTAAGTACTTTTCTTGTTTTTTCATTATTATAAAAGCAACTAAAATGTAAAAATAGGAAACTTGTGTTAGTTAAGGTTAGATTAGGTAAAATTAATAATAATAATAATAACAGAAATTTTTCATGAGGTATGCTCGCAAGTAGCTCGTGCATAATGTAATTTGATAATGTAACACCAAGTGATTTACAACTTATAATAACACGATTAGTAGTTAAACAGGGTTCAAAGGGCAAACAAGCAATAAAACTTAAGTATAAATACTGTTATGAATGTAAAGCTATTTAGGATAGATAAATGTAATTTCATATTACAATTCAAAGTCATTATAAAAAGAAAAAAAGAAAATTTAAATTCATTTCGATTTTTTTTGGTGGTTACAAGGTCAGTCGATTTAATCAACATTTTAAAAAGTTAAGGCAGAGAAAATAACAGAAAATATACAGTTTTACTGAGAAAAAACGTTTGAAATTTATTTAGGAGGTTTCAGAGATTACATAATTGAAATTTGAGATTTTTGAGACAAATAAAAGTATTTTTAATCATAACATGAAAATCACTTAGTACTGGGACTAATATATAAAAATACCAAATATATTCATGGACAAATCTTGAATAAAAAATACTTTATTAAAAATTTTTTATTTTGTGTACAAAAGACTTGTAATGTTTACTAAAAGTTTGCTAAATTTTGTGAATATACCAAGTATATTAAAAGATATAGTATGAAAACTATAATGAGTACAAAGTGGTTCCAAGGTTGGTCGATTTGACCAACTTCATTGTGAGAGAGTTAAAGACTTCCCAACTCCAAAGAACTGCAAGAAGTTAAGCACATTCTTGAATATACATGCCTGGTATAATCAGTTCATTCCACACTTTGCCACTATTGCTGAACCTATACATAAATTATGAAGGAAGTGTATAAGGTGTAAAGCTGAAGACTCACAAATATGAACTGTTTTTCCTGTAAAGGAATCAGAATGTCAGTATAAAGAGGGAGTTAAAAGAAATAATATAAAAAACTGGGAAATGTATACGAAGTGGTCAGTGTCGTGACTTCATTTTTTTTAAGGGGGAAGGAATGCAAGATAGTGAATTCTATTTTTATTTTGTTATGGTTTTGTTTACCATTCATTTATTATTCCTTCTATCATTTAGTTTAACTCCGAAATTTAAGTAACATTAGATCACTAACCTTCTAACTGATCACATTGATTTTGAGTATGTATGTATGTATGTAGTTTTTTTTATGAGAAGTTCCCCTAGTGGTAATGTACAGATATTACGAAAGCTACGACAGATTATGTAAAACTTATGGTCACAGTGCAATGTCATCCTGTGGTCTAACTACTTAATAAAAACCCTGCCCCGAGCTTCAACTAGTTAGTTCATGAGATGTAGCTGAAAAGTATTATTAATGATTATTACTCAATGTTGTTAGTGATTTTGTAGTTTTTAAATATGGAATATTGTTATTTTGGAATTAATTTTTTTCTTCATCTGGTTCTTTTTCCTGATTCCCTTACTTACTGAAATAATTATTAGCCTTGATATTCGCGTGATATTGTTCATTAACATTATATCAAGTCCTGATCAGGCACATATCTTACCTGTGGTTTGGTAGGTTATAAACTTTATATTTCAAATGTAAAATAAATTAGTCTGTGTTTCAACCTAAGCTGTAGCAGCTTTTGTGTTTTAAACCATTACAGTGTCGTGTAAACTAACTCATTAATCAAAATTATGAGGAAATTAATTGTCACAAAAAGAATCAACTAATCAAAATTAGGGTTTCTGATTATTACTATTTTTGATATTCCAATTATCTGAGTAATTGAAATATTGCCCCTGTCTTTGATATGGCAAAGATACTAACATTATATGTCACTGTCACTAAACCTGAACTGTTGCCTAGACTAGAGGGAAGGCAACAAGGATGGTGACACCCACTGCCAAATTATTTTTTTGCTTTTACATACCAGAAACACTGTACTAATTTATCAATTGAATGTCATCAATTAATGGGGCCCCATCAATTAATTGATTAGCAAACACCAGAAATTTCCCACCTCCATTCTAACTTTTGTCTCATTATTTTTTGTTTCACACATGTACTTATCTTTTCCTTTGCCGCTTGTGTTTTAGTTTTTAATAAAGCATTTATGTATTCATAAAGATAAATCAAAACCTAATTCACAAGTTAAGCATAACCAGCCAGGCTATGACAAGACCATCTAAATCAATGTCAAAACAATGACTTTTGTTAAAAAAAACAGTTTCTATGGGACACAGTATTGAGAAGAAATATTTTCTATTCTCTTAAGATACAAAATCTACAATAAATGCCTAAAATGTATCTTTACCAAACTGGCACTGAGCTTAGCTATGTAAAAGCATCATTCACAACATTATGAACATAATCTTCAAAAGAACATGGGTTCTAATCCTCATTTGGTGGAATATATGGAAATATAGATTTAGCTATTGTGTAAAGAGAAATATAGAAAGGAATTGTACACAACTTTCACCAACCTCCTAATATTTTGTAGGTTTGCCAACGTATTAACAATCTGTTAACACTTTTATTTTTAAAAAAAACTGTAGTTCAAAATCTGATAAATTGCATACATAATGGTGCATGTACTTTAGCAAAAAAAAAAAATCTTGTAAACTTGTAGATTTAGAAGACTAATTACATATAATAATTTCCTTTTTCGAGTTGAGACATTTTTCATCACTATTTTAAACAAAAATAGCTTTTAACTAGTTCAGAAACAATTTACAACATGAAACAAATCAGCTTACCTCTCAAAACATCAGTAATTAAGTTCAAATCATTGGTTAGTCGCCTAATCTGGTTGAAATTTGCTACAGTAGATATGGGAACAAACTGATCACTATCCATCTGAGAAAGGAGGTAGGAGTCACTGGCTAGGTTTTCTCTGAAGAAAAAAAACTTTGAAGTAGTTAGTCAGCAAGTAGGAATGTGGTTTGCCAATTAAAGGATATGTTAGAACAAGAGAATGCGAATATCATTTATGTTAGCAAATTAATTGATTATATCTCAATAGATCTTCTAACAATTAAAAATAGGTTTCTTTGTTTGTAGTTAATAACAAAGCTACACATTGGGCTATCTGTGCTGTACCCACTAAGAGTATAAAAACTCAAGAGCACATGAAAGTGTGAAATAAGGAATTAAGAAATGCTCTTTAATTAGAATAATTTCATAAAGTTTATTAAATTTGTGCTGAAAAGTTGGCAATGAATATTCAATAAAACCATTAAAAACTGCTAATCTAGTTTGCTTGGCCTAACCAATACTTATGTATATGCACATCCTTTCACCTTATAGTTTTGCTGCTCTAATTCAGCTGTCTTTAATACGACTGTCAAACACTAAAAACAGCCCACCTTTACTCTTAGGTGAATGTGCATAAAAATGTCAAATTTGAGTGGTTTTTGTTGAATAACTTTGCACATGTGGCTTATATTTACGTGGACTTTGCATTAATTTTTTTACAAATATAAAAGAAGCTGGACAACAACAGAAACCATTACAACATTATGAAATATAATTTTCTATGGCATTATTTCTTTCTGCAACTTTTCTCAACAGAATGGATCACCACACAATGCATAAGAAATCACTGAAAAGGTTACAGTTTTACTGTATTTAACCCTAAATTTGCAGCAAGCTAACCAAGCACAGCTTGATGATAAATCTGGAGTATGTAACATTTGAACATTTTTAGAACTTGGTAAACATATGCCAGAACTTTAGATGTAGATTAGGGCTTACATTCTGTGAAGATGAAATGTTAGTAATTTTTTTCACTGAGGAAGCTATTAACATTCTCTGCCCTTTGACCAATACTTTCCATTTTCTAGCTAAACATCTTTTGCTCTTTCTGTGCTATTTCCTGTTTTTAAGCATGGAAAATATAGAACAAAATGAAACATCAAAAGACAATTCTATTCCTCCTATTAGTTGCAACTGCAAAGTGAAAAGATGCTTCAAGTGCAATAAATGCAGTCGATGTGAATGTGACCATATAGGATATCCATATGTATATCTATTGAATAAAATTAAAGGAAGAAGGTAGCAAATAGTTTTAAAAAACAATACAAAGAAAACTAGAAGTTAAAACTATAATGCTTCTTCTCCGAAAGCATTATCTTCTGTTGGCTTGGATTTCAAAAATGAAAACAATCATTGTTCACTTTGCTAAAATATTTTGTAATGGTCATCTAGTGTACTTTAGTCTGTCACAGCTTTTATTCTCATCTGGTTATTGTTTTCACCGAAATATCTATTATCTAGCCAAGTTTACAATGAAATAAAAACAATTGACCCTTTTGAAACCAGTTTGGAAGATGTATCAAATCCAGTGAGAGTTTGTGGTTTTTGACTCTTTAGACAAAAGTAAATTTTACAACAATCAAAAGAGAAAAATCAATACCATTTGATTTCATATGGAAACTTTCCCACATTTTAGGGACTTTGGACTGATTAAGTTAAAAAATCAGAGTTAAAGAAAAGTCAAAATTCTGCAATAATTCTCAATAAATATTTTGTAAAAATAAAGAAAACATTTATACTAAAATATATATTATTTCTGTATGATAAAGTAGAAAACATTCTTTTTTACTTACCTTGAGAAATAAAATTCTAATTGTTGTTTAAGCATGGTCCTCAAAGAAGGAGCAGGAAAGGAATTATCCACTGTTTCATTTTCTCCTGCAATGTTAAATATTCCATTCAGGAAATTTTATGAATATAAAAAGAGAGAAAAATTTATTTCTAATCTTACTTAAGCTTCATGAAAATTTACAGATATTTAAAGAAACACTAACTACTAAAATTGTAAACTAAAGTAAAATAATAACTGATCATCGATTTAATAACAAAATTTAGTTACAGTTTAGCTGCAGTGATCAAATGAAAAATTAGAAGTTAAATTATGTATCTCAATAATACAAAAAAGACAAAAACTGAAATTATTCTAATTAGGTCATGAGTAACTTTTTTTCAGTTCAACACTAGTTCTAGACACAACAATTGCATTAAATTTTACATATTAGAACCACTCTGGAGACAAAACTTTAATTATAAATGGGCAAAAAAAAGTCCAAACTCTTAACACTCATTCAACACACTGTAGCAAAGCAAACAGTGTAGCTTGAAACAATACTTACCTAAAAAAAAAGAAAAAAAAGATACAGAACATAATCAAACAAAATGAAAAAAGAAGGCTCTACCAGCATGCTCATTAATTGTGAGGGATTCTGTCAAGGGGTTTCCAAAGTTTAAAAATGTGGAGTCCAATGTTAGATTCAAAGTCTAATTTTTTTCTTTTTGAAAGCCTACATTTTATTTTACAGACAGATCTGACTAGTTTAACTACACTAGTATTTAGCACTATAAACAATTAAGTTGTGTTTAGTGGCAAAAATATCAAATTATCAACTTTTTAGCTGCAGCATAGCGATTCATAGAATGGCTCAGAGTTTGTTTGTTTTTCAAGTAAAAACTTTTACCTCATAGCTCAGTCCTCTTTTGATCTATGTGATATCTAATTACAGTTTTGGACTCAGAAGATTTGGTCAAACCCTTTCCATTGATGTATTTGATCATGCACAAGGTCTCGTAGGTTAATTTACTCTCATCCTGTCTAAAATAATTTCAAGTGACATGGCTCTTGAGGATTCACTGTTGATTTATGTTTAATGCCTAGTGTTAATGTCTGTTAATTCTCCTCAGTTTTTGAATTAACTCCAGCTTTCCCATTTTAAACTATTTAATCACAATGTCTGACTGCTGTATATTTTTATTTTTTAAATGTTCTCCTGAACCTCTGTCAGCCCTGACTGATTTTCTGTTTGTAGAATGTATTTCTGTATAAATTGACAATTGTTGTTATTCATGAACAGTCTATTAAGTGAATAATTGTATAAACTCTCATAGAAATGTATCACAGACTACAAGTAAAGTGTCCATCAAAATTCAACAGCATTGATAAAACCTTGAAATTGTGTTTGCAATTGTTGTTTTCCTAGTTTTTGAACAATTGACTAGTTCTTATGTGCCTGTTGACAAAGAGCTTTTGCACACTGGTCAATTTAACTTCATATGTAAATCCCCTCTGAAAAAAGTAATAGGATCTTACCTGTATAAAAATGCACCTTACAACATTCTTAACCTATTGAATTTTTATAAGCTTTTTTATATGAGCTTTTGCATACAGGGGATTAACGAGAGTTTCTATGAAGAAACAAGGTATGACATCACCATTATATTTTCAATGCAACACTTTTTTTAATTTTAATTTTATCTTATTATAATTTTTGTAATAGGTAAGTGGGACTTAAAAGAAAAAAAAGGTTTAGTTTGTGCAATTCCTCAGGCTGAACTGATTAATTTGGTAACTCAAAGTTCAGCTGCATATAATTATCATACTATTCTTACATAACTCTTTCATTTATTTATTTATATATATATAATGTATTATATCTATGCACATCAACTCTTTCATTTATTTTTATGAACTCTTTTTCACAACCATTTACACAGAACCTAATCTTAAACATCATTAAAATGTTTTAATCTAATGCTCTTGTTTTCCCATATGTGATCTCATGAGATTACTTAGTTCAATTCGTTCAAACATCGCTTATAAATTAAGCCTAAGTTTAAATCAGTTGTAATCAGTTTTTGTATTACATTGTACCCTGACAAAGACATGGGTCAACATACTGGTATATTAAAGTATTACTTTTTTTCTAATGCTAGAAGTTTTCTTTTTTTACCATATATCAAATAATTAATTTAACATAGGCCTTCACACTTTAAATAAAAAAATTTATTTCTACATGTTCGTCATCTGGCATTTCTGTCCTGGGAACAAAAAGTGCACCATCATACTCCTAATTGGAAAAGTAATACTTCCTTTACTTTTTTTAGGCATTATGCTAGTGTGACAGTACTCTGGTGCAGTTGATTTTGGATACAACAGAGGGGAATTAATCTCATTATATTTGCATTTTAATCCCATTTTATTCACTGTTTCCAGAAGTATTTCCAAGACTGTAAATAATATAAAATAATGAACCAAGTTAATCAATAGATCTCCAAACTACACCAACCTAGCAAGTAAACCTCGACTAATTATTTTTTCCTCATAATTACTTCATAATCCAAAACAAGATAAAATTAAAAACAAAGAACACTAGTGATAACTCATTCACAAATAAAAAAATTTACAAAATAAGCTTCCAAGTGAATAATCATTAAATCACAAGATCAAGGAACAACTGTAGTCATGTGTCAGAATGATCTCTATCTTCAAAACATCTCAAATCAACTTAGTGACACTATTGTAAACACTACTTCCAAAAATATATCCTATCACAGATATCACCTGAAGAACTACACAAATACACCCATAATTGAACATGAAATCTTTCTACATAATGATAACCATCTCCAACACATCTTTAAAAAATCAAGAGACCTTGCTAAAAATAACAGAATGCAGATCCAACCATAATCAAACATTGATTTTACTTCTGTCGGAACATCATTCCTCCACACGATACCAAAACCATTGGCATAATTCCAAACAATTTCCATATTTTACAAAATAATGAAAAACATTTCCTGAAACCTGAATTTCTTATAACCATTACACATTAATTTCTTTCGTTACCTATTGATTTAATTTTACCTACTAATACCACAAATCAATATACTCAAGTATAAGTTGTATATCTACATACAGTGCATACAACAGTACATCCAAATGTGGACAATAGTATTCATAAACAGTGCTTGTGCACATAACAAGATAATATACATTTATGCAATGAATATCAGTAAGCTGCACATTTTCATGGCCTTACAATTACATACTGAAGATTGGTGCTTCATTAATATGTGGGTATGGGGTCAAATTCACAAAAACTTGTTTTCAAATTTATATTATCTTAAGTAAACATATTTTATACAACTTTTTTGCAACCTAATGCAATTTGAAAATTGTATAGAAATATTTCATATTTTGGATTATGCTACCTTCACCATATGTTTATCTGCTAATATTCCCTGTAATAAAATGCAGTTATTACTTACAAACCATAAAAACCAGTCTCCACTTCCAACTATTTTATAGGTAGGCCAACAGGTAATATTTGTAGAAAATACTGCAATTCACAGACATTTTAAAATTATAAAAAACTAGCAGTTTTGATGGTTTTTGTTTACAGTTCCTTATTTATACCCTTGGTTAATAGTTTACAAAACATTTTATTTATAATTGCATTAAATAAATACATTATTTAAATTACAATAAATAGCATTTCATCCACTACTGTGTCCATCATATCCATTTGACCTAATATTAGGTTAAATACCTCACTGGTACTGGATATAACATATAATGTGGTTGGCATATTATTATACAGTCTTCTCTTTCACTCAGAAGTTATATTAATAACCACACATCAATGAAAATAATCAGTTAAAACAGACAACATTTTGTTACATAAAGTAACTAAGACTTATAACTATAATCTAAGGTAGCTGACTGCAAATAGTGGAAAAAAGAAATATATCTTTCAACCTGACTAGCACCCTATGTGAAATGGGCTAAACAGGCAGGGCAACAACATGTATATGTATATTTACCAGTACATTAATCTTTTGGTGAATGAAAAATGTAAGTTACTTTCAAGAAATAGGAACTAAATATTAAACTGAATTTTAAGTTCTCAATTTTCTACATAATCTAAAATCTATATTAAATGTTATTAAGAAAAATATTGCTGTGGCACAGAAGATATTTTTGGGAATGACATACTGCATGAGGTTTAAGGATTCATAAAAATGAATGTTTTCTAACTTAAAGAAGTCTTTGTAAGATTGTACACATATATTAAGTTAGTTTCAGTTTGTACTGAAACATTTTAATAATCAAATGAAGTAGGAACCTTAGTGGTTTTAGATGATGTTGAAATAGGTCTAATACTTCTCAGATCAAATGATGTAGGAACCTTAGTGGTTTTAGATGATGTTGAAATAGGTCTAATACTTCTCAGATCAAATGATGTAGGAACCTTAGTGGTTTTAGATGATGTTGAAATAGGTCTAATACTTCTCAGATCAAATGAAGTAGGAACCTTAGTGATTTTAGATGATGTTGAAATAGGTCTAATATTTCTCAGATCAAATGAAGTAGGAACCTTAGTGATTTTAGATGATGTTGAAATAGGTCTAATATTTCTCAGATCAAATGAAGTAGGAACCTTAGTGGTTTTAGATGATGTTGAAATAGGTCTAATACTTCTCAGACCATACATGCATCTTATCTTTAGGGTTCTAGAATACATATTTTATGGAGAATTTAACATTCACTGTACAGTAAAACAATGAGAAGTGTCACCCTAAACATGTTTTCACAAATGGTCTTGAACCTGAAATGAGAGTATGAAATTTATAATATCAGCATTATTAATATAAAATATCTCTAATCGTCAAGTTTCTCATCACTCAAAATCTCAGTATCCATAATATGTGTGTTTCTTTAGAAGCTGACCTAAACTGTAATTCAAGCGAGATCCTGTTACTGCAAAAGAAGAAACTAAAGATTATTTTCACTGATTTAGTAAATTTTCACAGCTGTTTTCACCACAGACAATGAACTTCCTTAAAGTAAAATAACCATTACCCATGCTGCAATTCAGTTGTCAAGATGATCTAGTGCTGATTAATATTTAAAGGTAATGCTAGATCACAGAATTACTGAACATATGGTAATAACAGTCTGTTCATACCCTAGTGGTGATTCTAGAAGAGAACTTGTATGTGTAGCCTAATCAGCAGTGTAAGCCTAAGGCAGCAAAAAGCAAGAAAAGTTCAATTTTACTTTCAAAAGAATAGACCATCTCATGTTCACTTTACTTCCATTACTGAAAAGAATGCAGACAAAAAAACAAATATTAGAAATGTTCATTTACATTTTCCACTGTTCTCTGTGTACACATTTCAAACATATAAGAGAATGTTACATATTCATTAACTTTGAATGGTTACAATGGTTTCACAGCTGGTTATAATATGTAGTTTTCCACCTGCACAGTGTATGCCATCTAGTTACAATCTGTATAAGCAGGTAACAGATTCCAAAGATTGAAAAAATTTTGCTGGGGCTGCAAAATTCCTAAAGGAGGCCCTTTTGTGTATCTATTTCAGCACAAAAATCAGTGATGTCATGTCAGAAGTTAAATTTACCCAATGTTGTAAACTGCATACATGGTCAAGAATGTAAGTATTCTTTTTTTTAAGTTCTTATTAGAAGAATATATCTAGATCAGTCCTTACATTTTTGGAAGTATGCATTGCTACAATTCTTAAAGGGCAGCATGACAACCCTGATTAAAAGCAGCTATTTCATTTAGAATACATGTTCACAAATTCATGAAGAGCTCTGTTACAATTTGCAAACAGATTTGCAAACATAAGATCACCCATGCACACGAGTTCATAAATTCTTACAGCTTTTAGTGAATTATTGCATGGAGTGCAAGTAAAATTCGTGATATGGCATTACGAAACAAGTTACGAATTTTGGTCAGTTATTTCTAGACAACACTATATTTGGGGCAAAAATAAATTGCTTTAGAAAGGCTCATGTTGGCAACTACTTTAATCAGCACCAAGAAGCTCATGTTACTGGATGCAAACTGATACTGTATCCATATATAATAAGCAGATATAACCATAAAAATATTACAAATACACAGTTGTTTTTATGTGACATAAAGAGGGTATGTGAACTTAGCACAACTTGTGTAACCAGCTATCTATTTAATACATACATGTAAATACAAAACAGACCAAACACATAAATAAAATATACATACCTGACAAGTAATTATCTGTTGGAATGTAGGCTTCCATAATGTTTTGTGGTTGAACAGACTGAACAGGTGTACTGGAATCATTCATGGTAGTTACAGATGAGAACAAACTTGGTTCAAAACTGACTAGACATTTGATTGGGTTTCTCACAAGATGACTTTCTAAATCATTTTTGGCTAGGCAACACTGTTCAAAAGTCCATATTTATTTTTGTAAGAATAACTTAATACAAAAAAAATGTGCTGACAAATCCATAACAATTCCAAATGACTAGAACAAACTGAAAAAATATTATAGGAAGAATAAAATTCTGACAAAAAAAATATCACTAATAAAGCTTACAAAAACTTTGTTAGTAAAATAAACTTTTTCAGATTCGCACCCACAATACATCTAATAATCATCTGAACAATTATAGTTATTTCAATTACCAAAATACCTCTTGAACCCCTACAATCTAACATTCTGAAACATTGTTTAGCACTGATGACTCAGTAATGACATTTTCATCATACACTTATTAACAATCTTACAATCATACATGCATTTATTTTTCTTCAAAACCTATTTACACAGCTTGAATGCAAAACTTCTTTAGTAGTGCAACACATGACACTTACAAAGGTGTTGAAAGTGAAAGAAACGCATCCATCGTTTTCAGATTGTAAAAACCAAAAGCTATTCATCACTGGTCACCTATAATGGGTTTTTTTTTTTCTATGTTAATCAACACTGAAATTACATCTTGACAAGAAACTATCCAATATAAACAGCTAAGTGAGTGAATTTTAAACATTTGTTATTGTAGGTTTATTATAAATAAAAAAAATCTATGAGCAAAAAAATGTTTTTCTGTAATCGATCCATACTTGTTTTTACTTATATTAACAGTTACTCAAATTTCTTTTAACATATTATTATTGTGAATAGACTCTTCAAAAACAAACTTCCAATCTTCACACAATTTTTCAGATAATTTTTCTAGTGACCAGAAACAGTTGAACAAATATATATACATGTAAAGTTTTTGCTTCAAGTACTAGTTCATGAAACCTTAATTGATATTTACGGACATGATATGGTAAACTTATGTTAAAAAAATGACTTGAAATGTTGAAAAACTCATCCTAGCCATTTCTATAATTTTCATCATGTACATACTGCAGACAGTGAAGACACATAACATACCAAATCATTTCTAGTGTACTGAAACTGTTCTGTACTAGTTTTTCAAGCGTAGCCATATGCAAAGCATGAAACTTGGATGACATTTAGTAATCTGTATGGTTTATCTTGCAAATTTAAACCTTTTTAACATTTGCTAATTGTGAGAAAACTTAAGTACATGTAATAGTCCTTAAAATTGAACTTAACACAAATTTTAAGAATATTTTCATTGTATTTTTCACTATCATTTTCATAAACCAGCTGTATTTTAGCACACACACACAGGTTAAGTGAAACTGATTTTTTTATATGAATATTGTAAATTAACATCTTTATGTCAATTAGAATTGAGAGTAAATGAATACTTCAATGTTGACCCTCTTCAGCTTCTTTCTGCATCTTCCCATCTTTTTCTTTCTCCTTATGGTAAATTATATAGATTCTTTCCTGTGTTATCACTGAACTTAATATTTCAAATCAACAGAAAATGTTCACAAGAATAAGCAACCTCAAAATTATATACCCAACTAACATTGTATTATAAATCATTCTAGTAGAGGTAAGAGGACACATGAAAAATAGAATTAATGGAACATAAATTTTCAAATACAAGCACTAGTGCTAATAGAATTCAATTTTATTTGTAAAAACATTTTTCAAGTGTTCCTGTACTTGCTAAAATCCCCTCAATGGAAAAGAAGTATAAAAGTGAAGAGACTTTATCCATCTCTAACACAGAAAATGAGCCTCCTATACAGAGAGACTACTTAATTACATGTTACAAAATTACAAATCATTATGCTAACATTCATACTGGAATGCAAGGGCAAGGGGTCATACACTTAGTTCTATCCATAACAAACCTATCAGGTATGAAAAAGTACTTATTGAAACAACCAGAAAATGAACAAGAACAATAATGCCGACAGTGAAGACATGTACCATGCTAAATCATTTCTAATATTCTGAAAAGTATTCAATGCTAGTTTTTCAAACATCAGCCATTTGCACAGCAAAAGACAGTGGATTGAAAGCTGCACTAAACTATTTAATTGTTTTTAAGTGGACAGTTTTACTAGTTTTCTTAAAGGAAGGTCATAATAACATAACATTGTCTGCTCAAAGATGATTCAGGACAACTTGCAGTAAGTAAAGAATATGGTCCATATATTTTTAGTTAAAAAAATTGGAATATTCCGAAAAGAAATTGTCTGGAAACTCCCCTATTTTAACATGATTACCCATCACTCAATGATGTTATAATAATAATAATAAAATGTTACTGTGCACCCCATTTACTGTGGGGTTTGTGTTATTTACTGTGTGTCACAAGACCAGATATGCACAGAGGTATGTAACTACATACATATGTATATACAGACAAAGAATTGGAGTTACAATGTTAACATATCCAATAACAATTAAAATATGGCATTTGGAAAATGAAAAGTTTGCATACAAAGAACAAACACTAGAAATGTTCACTTACATTTTCCACTATTATATGTGTACACATTTCAAACACATCATAAGAGAGAATGTTACATGTCCATTAACGGGGTTACAATGGTACAATAACTGGTTGTAATATGTACAGTTTTCCAATTCACCAGAGGAGCACCATCAAAATAAAACAAGAACTGCAAAGTATATGCCATCTAGTTAAAGTAATAATATCTTATATGATATCAGAACCAACACAACTTTCGTGATGTGTTTCATTTGCAATGAACTGTAGTCTTAGAATAGTGCCCATGATGTCAGAGACAGTCTTCTAAATTGTTATCATAATGGGTAGTACTAGTTCCAGCCTCAGATACTGGCACTGAACCTCAACATTTCAGGTGGCAATAGGACTGTTGGAAACTGAAAAGGAGTTTATGTAGTGATGGGAAGTGAGAGAAATATTCTGTCATTAGTAATCTTATCTGTGCAAGAATGCAACCCTTGCTTATAAAGCCTGTCACAGGAGATTCATGCTGGGAAACATGAAGGTCCACATGCCTCTGCACCTAATTCAGCTCTTTAAAACTCTGATTGGAAGCAACAAATGGAGAAAAAAAGGAAGAAAGAGGACAACCTAGTCATCCTAACCTGAGAAACATCTGTTTCTATATAGAAAAGTGTATCATTATTTCAGCCAGAATTAGGTGCTATCACCAACACCATTACAATCAATGTGTGAATTCTGAAGTGCTTATAATAGTGACCATTTTTGTGAAACATTTGAGGCATTTGGCCAAATTATCAAATGCTTAAAAGATCAAAAATTTTAATTTCCATATGTGCCATATGTACATATAAGATGAAGAAAGAGCACACTTCATAGGAAGTACATAGTGGAAACTTCATGAAAAACAATTATCCAAATAAGGACATGAAAGGTGATGAGCAAATGTACAAGTTAATAAAATACATTCCAAGTGATAATATTAATGTTTCTAGCACAGAGAAAGGCACAAATGTTTATGATATGAGACACTAAACTAATAGAAATGCATTCTATAAAAAAATGAGTGGCAGAACTTTGATTGGAAGCAACAAGTGGAGAAATACATGTGAAAAGACTGGCGATGATGACATATGTTATTAACCAACTACATATTAGTATTGGTTCTGGTTTAGTAAAAAGCCATAATTAGACCAATAAAGTGAATTACCTTCTTGCAAACTCACTATGTTGTACTTGTTTGAAAGATGGATGGACACATGAAAGAGTATAAAATGTCATGTTTGTGGTCTAGAAAACAGTTCTCAGTTGCTGAACCAGATTCTGGTTCAACCCATACAATCTATTCCCTGATTAAAGATAGCTATACTTCAATGATTGGAAACATTTGCCACACAAACTGTGTGTGAGTATCTACTGCTATCCTTTCTAATCTAACAGCATAGTTAATAATTGATGTATTATGTGTGAGTGTAAGGTGATGTTAAAAAAAAACTCTTATAGATTTTGTAAAGCTCATAGAAGAGGTAACAGCAGTATTAAGAGATATTCTAGAAACATATCTAGTTATATCTAACTATGTCTGAAGTTAATTTACACATTAACGTAATCAATAATTTGATTATTATAGTATCTGAATTGACGAGTCTTGTTGAAGGTTTAATTAACAAGCAGTTGATCGAGTGAACTCAATGTTTTTAATGTAGATCTATTTCACAATGATTTTGATGCTGTGGATGTTGATAGATATCTGGATATAGTCCAAAAAAGTTTTATGTATCAACTAACTGCCAGTCTCCGAGTCAATTTTTTACTCCAAATGTAAATTTCCTCGAGTTGGTGGCTTGTATGCTTAGCCCACGACTACAAAACCTGGATTAAATAAACTCATTTGTAACTTGTGTGAAATCAAACCCAATCACTGTGCCTACCAGCTGGCTACCTGTTACAAGTTGGTGCAGTGCTCCAGGATTTTGGGATAATCAACGACAGGTTGGTTGGAATAAAGAAAGAAGTTGTTTTAATGAGTTAGTTTAAATATTAAGTACTGTAAGTAGACATGGCTACTGCCAGCATAAATACTAAAACAGAAAAGGGTGCATGGCCAAGATCCAAAAGAAGGGCTGGCGCAAACTTTGAGGCTGTAGTAGATCAACCCTCACCAGCAGGACCACACTGTGCTATGCACTTAAAAAGTGCTGTACCACTTTTTCATGGTAAATTTTATAAAGACAGTTTTATAGATGCAGTAAATGAAGCAACTAGAATTTTGGGGTGGACTAACAGCCAAAAAGCTGATATACTCATTAAAAACAACAAGAGAGGCAAAATGATACATCCAAGCTTATGATGAACTAAGAGAAACAACTGCTGATTTTCAGTACGTAGCACATGGACTAGTAAAAAAGTATACAACAAGCGAGAGATGCCAACACAATAGTGACACAAACACAGCTTAACTCAGAGAGAAGAATCAGTTAGGGTATTTGAGCATAAATTACAGGAGTTAGGTAATAGGTTGCATAGAGCATATAGAAACCCTAAAGAATGAATGATAAAAGATACTCTT